CGACCCGGAGAAGCAGCAGATGTCGAATTCAGAGGTCGAAAAACTCCTCTGCCAGGTCCAAAATTTCTGTTGCTTCCTGTAACTTAATGTCGCCGAGAATGCAAAGATTTGTATAATTTTTGTAACTCAATCCTCACTCTCAATACTTCCGCTTAACCAATTTCCTTCTGTTAGATAAGTAACAAGAGATACCTTGCAGTGGCTCCCGTGGAGCATAGGTAAGGAATTACTTTGAGAAAATCGTTGATTTTTAGTAAGTACAATCAAAAGTTTTGTAAATTTTTATGTCTTGTAAATTTTTATGTTTCAAAATGTATCCCTAACGCCCATCAGTTCCCCTTAAATCCTGAATTGCAGTGTAATATAAGAGCAATAAATTGTTTTGTTGAATCTCTTTTCTTTTTTTTTTTCAGATTAAACACGGTAAAAGAGAGCATCGCCTTGCTGCTTGCGACCAATTACGGAAAGTACTGCTTCGAGCCGATAATGTCACGGTACAATTTTATAATATATTCATATTAGATATCTGGAATATATAACCATATTTTCTGTTAATGTAATAATTACTGTATATTTGCAACCGTGTAAACACTTAGACTTTTCGTCATATGAATGGCCTGAAAAATATTATTTCGACCGAAAGACAGTGCATGTTACATATACACGATTTAATGGACCGAAACATTTTTTAACATTGAAAAATAATTTCAAAAATTTTCGGATTTTGATTACTTACTATCTTTTTTGTTTTTTTTTCTTTTTTCTCTTTATTTCATTCCTTTTTATGAAAATCTTCTCTTGCCCGCCTTGCTGACAACCGATGGACGTCGCATATTAATGAGTGACCCTTGCCAAGGAAGAAAACGATTACTGGGGCAGCCCCGAAGAGATGACACACATACATCGAATAGGCGGTGGGTACTAACTGGAGATATGCAGCCCAGGATCGAAGGAACTGGCACATTTAGATCTCAGCTACTACCAGGATTGTCTTGATGCCCTGGCATAGCTACGTCGTTCTTGTCTGAATTGCATATATCTCCAATTAGTATCCATTGTTTATTTTACGTTCGTTTACATATATGTGCGTGCCTTCATTCAATTTGTCCGATTGGTCATTTTCTTTCTCGTGAATTCATGCAAAGCGAATATTTCCTGTTAGACTGTCAGAAAATTTTGGAGTAGTTGAAGTAAATTTC